CAGTCAGAAGATGATGTTTCATACGGCGAAACCGGGGATGGCATTATTTTTGGCTACACTGTCCATGACGACAAGAAATCTGAATCGTTTTGCGACACAGCCGTTAACCGCTTAGTGCGGCTTTTGGACCTCGAGGTTTGTCGCAGTCGATGACGGTGTTGCTTAACGCTAAGTAGACTTTTTCAGGACTCGTCACTGCTAAGAAACAGTGTTCGCATAGAAGTTTTCCCACCCGGTTTTACCGTCGTCCAACAGGGGTCATTGGTACGCTGTAGTGGAAATCGTGACGATGTAAACAGCGACCATGTTAAAATATTTTTTCTTTTATAGGACGCGATGCTGATCTACGTTGTGACCGGCTCATTGGAGTTGACGTGCAAGAATGTTGACAAAACGGACGAAGAGGTAAACTTATACGTGAATAGTGTCTATACAGCGTTGAAGTTTCGAACTCTGTTCGTTTTCCAGTTTTCTTTGAGAGACCGGATCAGTTGACTAACGCAACTATGGCTGTTCAGCGGACTGGAAACGTTTGTACCTGTGACAGCTATCAAACCCACGATTTTTGCAGACTATAAAACTGGGAGAGCAAAATTTTTCCTACTTTGGAGAATCATGAGAGCTACGCATTTCTATTTGTCCAACTCTGCCTTGTTCCAAGCGGTGCTGCATGGAAACGAAACTTGATCGCCTACTGAGAGAACTACGAAAAGAAGGATGTTGGGGATTTTGCTCCGCGACCAACTCCTCCCAAGTCCAATAATCAGAAAGCAAATCTAAATGAAAGAAGTTATCATGGAAGGCAGAGGAAATAAGGCCCGGGGTAGAAGGAGACTAGGCATATAACACGGTTCACTGACCATGGATGGATGGTGGCCGTAACTGGATAGTTTCTGGTGATAGTTAAAGTTCGTTCGCCCCTTCCTAAAAACTTAGACTGCCTCAGCTCTGGCTTGCCAAAATTACTCTAGCAAAGGAAGGCCAGAATGAAAGAAGAATTGAGGAATTTCTGTAACTAGTGCAATCTGTCATCTGAATACTGGCTGATGAAAGTGGTATGACTTTGACTACTTGCGTTCTCTTGGGTCTTTTCACTTTCCCAGGTGTATATTATTTACCATTACTCGAAGATGAAGCTGTTCTCAGCTACAATGCAGCGTCATACCCGGCGATATACCGTTGCCCTTAAAGGTGCACTTGATTCAGTAACCGTCCCACGGTGTTGAGAATTTTAAAATGCTATGAAATACATGAATATATCGTTTCTATTTTGGGAGTGTTTTATACAAGAACCATGTCTGCTATCAAAGTCGAAGAAGAGTTATCTGAGCTCTTTCCTGTGAACTGTGGTGTTCGCTAAGGAGATGTGGTTTCGCTTTTGCTATTCAATATGTTTTCGACTTTTTTCTCTGATGCAGTGCTGATCCTGGCCAAAATGAAAATTTTATTCTAGAGGGAAGGCACAGCTCAAGATATCCAGATAGGTATCTTTCTGATGTGATGTGCGCAGATGATGCTGTCCTGGTGAAACAGGCTTTGTCAGATGACGTCTTTCGTTTACAATACAGCTGCGAAAGCTGGCCGCTATATTAACAGCTAGAGGTCCAGATCAGCTACATCAAAATCAGCTAGAAGCTACATCAAAATATGAGACATGTGAGTGGACATCAGTATTAATCATCCCGCTGTTGTGCTGTGCGGTTTGCGATGCTGATAAGAAAACCAAACAGCAAATTAAGGGGGAGGTTATCTCTTGAAACGTCCATCTGTGTCTTCTTTGTGTCCCATCAAGCAGCACGAACGACCCATCGACCCACATATATATCCGGCCTCTTCTTTTCGATATCTTTTCCTCATATATTCTTTTCGTGACTTAGGCCTCGTTTTAGACGCTTATGGCGATTGTGCATGCTGATGAATTAATTGGCGGTATGTCACTGCTGACCGGTGAGGGTTCGTTTTTTTCGCTGAAGACCCGTCAGGAGAGTAGGTTGGCAATCGTCATGAAGGAGGACATTTACGCGTGAGTTTGTGAACAGTGATGGCTACCGTTCCCGTTTGATTCACAAGTTCGTTAATTTGCATCACTCTTTAGAATGGTTCGCCATCAACCACTGGTCGTCTTGAAGATTGCCTACAGCGTTGTACAGAGGCTGTCACCTTTTGTGCGACAGGTGGACTATGCAATCGATTGGGAGATGCACGACGCCGGCTACCCTTTATACAGGTATAAAAGTGCAAAAGGAAGGCAGTCACCGCTGGAGCATGGATTTTCCTTTCACTTCCATGAGTGTCATCGTAGTTGTGATACGTTTTTTACAGAACATTTTCGTAGGTTTCTAACCATACTAGAATAGCGCAAAAACGGTGTTGTTTTTGCAATCCAGTTATGTTAGCTTTTGGGTAAACAGCTTGTTACCGACTTCTCATGTCTTGTCTCACAGGTCTTCACCAAGGTAAGGTTGGATGTAGGTTTCAGCGCATCTGGTTTACTTCGAACTGTATTCCTAACTTACCTTTCTTTATGAGGCTTCAGAAAGTATCAGAAATTTCGGTTATCAGACCGATTAACCATATATTTACGTTTGCATCCTAACCCATTGTTATATTTATTTACCAGTATCTTATTTTAAATACAAAAGTTGTGCTTTTTATTCCGGGGATTTCGTTTGAAATTCAAAAAATCCTTTATGGGATAGCGCCAGATTTTCAGTTTATTATATACGTTCTCCAACGTTTTGTTCATACTCGACCCGTCGTCAGGGAGAGATATAGCAACACAGAAAATGTTACTGTATTAAATGGCGTCTTAGTGGTCTAACAGAAAAGAACCAATGCTGCAGAGTCGTTAAGCCCAGTTTGGCTAATATGATAACTTATTATGGGGTGATGGCACAGTTGCCTAAGAGGTCTCCATTGAATTCTGGAGGTGCTGGGTTCAATTCCTGGCCGAGGGCAATCTGTGTTTTATTCACGAATCCCCTTGAGCAAGGAATTTACCACACGTTGCTTCCAACCGGACTTGCACAGTCTATAGGGCGTCGAACTCAGAACCGATTGGTCCTGAGTTAAAGCCCCGGTCAGGGGTCACTCGATCTTCTTCATTCCGAGGTTGATAAATGAGTGTAAATCTATGGGGAGGTAGCAGGATACTATGCGCTATGCTTGCCACAAGGCTGTAGACTCTGCCTTTAAAAATAAGGCACTTCTGGCTGATGGCATGGAAACGGAGATCAGCACTG